CTCAATGTACTGTAAAGCCGTTGATTGGGTCTCGTTTACTACTTTACTAAGACATGATGAGTGGATCGTATGCTTCTCCACCAAAGTCCAACAAGTCGCTTTTGGTGCTCTATATAACAACATTGATCTCTGTATCGTCATCCTGGCTGGTATCAAACATAGGCACTTTCTTTCAGGTTGCGGAAAGCATTTTTCAGGAAAAACATCTGCTATGCATAAAATCTAACTTCAGCCTACCGCAAAACGAGTGACTTCTCACTCATGATACAATACCATAATTTGGTTACATTGCTGAAGCTGGCTTGTCACACCAATGATAACAATAATGGAAAACGGGCCCTCGGCAGTCGATTCAACAACCGTGAATGATCAGTCTTTCAGAGCGCAAATCTGCCAAATGTAATTTATGCACAATCTCACTCGTAGCATCAGATGACTGCGACAAAACAGATCCTGCGCAAACTGGTGGAATGTTTAACTAATATTTCTGCGTTTTCTTCAGCGTGAATACGAAACAAATGTCATGCCCTCAGTCACAGTCGATCCGCTCAACTGTATCAGGTATGCGCTCCACGACATACCTAAACTTATCAGGTGTACAAAATAGCCATATTTCGGGAGTCCTGACAATATTTCTCCCGTACATGTGAAATTCATTTGGGATGACACCCACTGCTATTGTTGCGTATACTCAATCTGTCTATAAACACTGGTACCCTGCCAACTCACTGGAAAGAAGCCATAGTTGTACGGAAACATTTCTCAGGCTGCTTGTCCGAGTCTACAAATGGTCGCTCAATAATCCACACTTCTACTTTATCTAGGAAGTTAATCAACGACTCTCAACACGATTCTTGAATACTCAATCTTGCATACTGTGCCACTTGGAATTTCTAAATCATCTAACTACCGCACATGCTCTTGCCATGTTGGCGACTCTGATTTACCTCGACATACGCAGAGCCCTTGATCAAGTGCCTCATGACAAACTAATAGCTAAAATGATGTTACACGGGATCGGTGAATCCCTGCTTTCTTGGCTCAGGTCATACAAATCTAGTGCAGTTGGTACAAGTTCAAGAACACCAATCTGAGCTTGCACCTGTTATCAGCCGTGTGATACAAAGCAGTATCCTTGTGCCGCTGCTGTTCATAATACAGTCGATTCCGGTTCATCGGACCACATCGGGACCAGACCATTTTGGTCCTATTAAGCGGCTGATCCGATTAACCGAAGTTACCCGATGTAACAAGATGGGACCTGCTATACATAACTTAGGAAACTACTATTATGACCTGTATTGGCGGCATATATTTATAGCAAACACACAAAACAGAACTGCTTTGATAACGAACTTTGTTCACTGAAAAAGAAATTTACGAACAAATTCGTCGTAACGACCTACAAGATATTCAGCATGCGAAGTACAGTTTTATACAAATGGATAACCGAATTCCATTCAGCGTTTGAAGACCGTATCCAGTGTGGTTTGACGCATTCTTTTAACAGACTGCATTCGCACAGAATCACCACAAACATGTAACGCAGTAATAGGACTACCTTCATTTCCTTCCTGCATGAAATAACGGTGCAATGTTTCAATGCATTTCCTTGCATCCTGTTTTGTGACCGGCATCAACACGTTAGGGTTCTCTTCATCACTTCCATGATCTTCTGTTGTTGTCGTGTGTTTCGCTGCTATTCGAGCAATAATGGCAACATCACATTCTTCATTTCCATCATAGAGTTGAAGTTGGTTGTCGACTGACAAAAATTCTTCGTAATTTTCAACCTGTTTCAGCTCCACATTCTCTCCGTCATTTTCATTTACAATCACCATATCCACATCCATCTCCGAGACAATATGCTTAAAGCCACAGTGAGAAAAACAGTTCCGAATTGTCGCACTGCTCATTTTTCGCCAACTTTCGGCCACGAATGTAACGGCTTGCAAAATATTGACCTTTGCACTGATTTCTCCGGCCGTCGAGGATGAGGTCAGCAAGCCTTCCTCAATTGATTCAAGGATGTAATTCACCAACCTTGAACGATAAAAGGTCTTCAAATTTGTTATGATGCCCATGTCCATTGGCTGTATCAAAAATGTCTTGGGAGGCAGAAATTCCATCTGGATATTCTTCAAGAAATCCGAATTTGAATGTGCTGCACAATTGTCGAGAAGTAATAACACTTTTCTCGACTGGCGTTGTAGCTGTGTTTCCCAATCCTCCACCCATTCTTTAAAAAGTGCAGAGCTCATCCATGCATTTCTGTTCGCACGATACACAACTGGTAAACTGTCCATTCTGAGTCCCTTAAAGCAGCGAGGCTTGGCACATTTTCCTATAACCAGCAACTCCCTCTTGTCTGTTCCGGACATGTTTGAGCAGCACAAGACTGTTACGCGAACCATTGCTTTTTTGCAGCCAGAGAGTAACATGTTTGTAACTTAAGGAGCCGTCCGGTGTAGCCCTATAGTACAACCCGGTTTCATCAGCATTATAGATGTCATCTGCTGGAAAATTTTCAAGAAGCTCTGGTAGTTTTGTTGATTTCCATTCTTCAGCTCGAGCGCTATTGGCACTTTCTTTCTCACCTTATGCTTTCTTCAATTTTACATCATGTCTAGATTTCCATCGAGACAACCAGCCGTCCGTAGCTATAAAATCTTCGTGGCCCAGCATTTTAGCGAGTTCTTCTGCTTTGTACTTTAACATTGGGCCACTTACTCGTCCAGTAACAAAGGCAAACCAATCATTAAGGGCCTCATCGACGTCTGGATCCTTGTCTTCACGCTTCCGTTTTTGGGAAGTACCTCGTCCTCCTTCACATTGTGCCCATTCTTCTCGCAAATCTTTCTCTTGTTTTATCAGGCGCGATATTGTAGATTTTGCCAAGCAGGTAATTTCCACCAATCGACGCTGACTAGTGGTTGGTCCCTGTTCCTTGATCTGATCTAGGAAACGAATCTTCTCAGCTAACGTCAAGTCCCGTCGTGGCATTTTCTTAACATGCAACAAGACACGCACAGTTCACTGAGGTGAACTCGAGTCTGTCTCCCGGGTATTTCTATGGTTGACCTAGCCACCTTCTGTCCTATGATTTGCCGGACCTGTGTGCCCGCGATCACTTGCCGTGCTCGAGAGTAGGCCCGCAATGCGGGCTCAGGGCATTCGGCTCAATGGACGTGCGGTACATCGATCGAGCGGTTAACGACATGTGAACAAGCACGTATGTCTTCGTTCCGCCTACAAGTGTTGGAAACTACAGTCAGTTTCGGGCGGTTCTGAAGCCAATTAGATAGATGTGTCTCAAGGTTGCCACAGTTCAGTTTATCCAAAGGCCAACTCGGATTACCGTAACTGAATGATACGCTTTCTTGCCCGACATATGAACTGTGGGTTTAGTTCAGACATCCAGGCACAGAACTTGATTTTAACACCTCTCTTACCTGCCACCTTCTATCGTCTGGTCCGATTAAGCGGAATTCCGGTCCTAATAAGCGGCTAAAATTAGGCTAGCGTAATAGGATTCGTTTCGGTTCTTCAGAATTTGGCCCGGATAAGCGGCTGGTCCTATTAACCGGAATCGACTGTATATGTTGACGATATATTGACGTAGTAAAATTCGGTAAACCATGCCTCTTTGTCGATGATGCAAAAATCGTAGTCATTTTCCGCCCGGATGCTTTCATTGATGCTTTCAACATGATCTAACCCTATCTCCATACGCCTGAATCGATGTGCTGACATATGCTATGTACTGTCCCACAAGTGCGATTTGACTCAGTGGCCTGACTCTTGATGGTGAACCACTTAGTCTCTGTCCTACGGTAAGAGACTTGGGATTGCGATATTCATGCTCACTTGTGTTCTGTGGACACGTAGGCTACGTCACTGCTAAGGAAGAACAACATTGGATTAGTATTTAGAACCTTTTCTCTACATGTCATTATTTCCTTCTCATATCAATTGTTAAATCCATGTTTCACTGTTGTTCAATGGTGTATAGCAGTTCAACGAAGCGGGACTGCATGCATTGGAACTAATACGAAATGCATTCACCGAACGCCTATTAGGTACTTTTTCAAAACTGTAAAATTGTGAATGACGCGATGTGCTCATGCTTTATCCGCCCTGGTTACAGCGCATGAAGTAAAACCTAGTCATGTTTAAAATGTTTCGAAATACTGGTAGCTCGGGTTGATGAATAAATTGTTCATTTGTTCTCCGAGCTTGGCGGTTTTATCGCAAACGTTCCACGTGCAAGCTTGCACGCCACAAATCACTGCACTGAGGATGCCACCTCGCATGGTGGTGGAACGTTTGCGATAAGACCGCCAAGCTCGGAGAACAAATGAACAATTGACTAGTCATGTTCTTCACCTTTTGCACAGAAATATACACGTTTCCAATCTCAACATGACATTGATGCAATCATCTGTCTACTGCACACGACATAAACAGAACTCATTGGCGGATTTCAAGTCCAGAACTAGCAGGCCAGCAAACGTATTTTTTAACAGGTACGCAAGAGTCTGTAGCAAGCTACCACCTGGAATATATGTCTACACTGTTAAATACGAAATTCGCAAAAGCTTCTACAAGTTCTTGACTGTACAGAGTTTGATTAAACTGTTTGATGGTTCTATAAAAACAAGCTAAATGTGCGAGCAGGATCCAGGTTACATACGATCTAGTACATATTTCGCCACCATATTCCCTCCTGTAAATTGGCTGTTTTACAATTAGCTATGTGAGAACGGTTAAGGGCCGGCTAATATCACTTCGTTTTACTCAACCATTTATCATGCCTTGGCTATTCTTCCATACTTCGATACGTTATCTGTTATTCAATTTTCCTGAATCACCCATGATCAAATTTTTATTACAGTATGCTTTCCCGACCGCGTGAGTGAAGACGTGTCTCGTGTCGTCGAGAATAATATGTTTCTTATATATAAAAATATTGGAGGGTGCACACTTTTTCTTTTTTTTCAGTTCGTTGGAACTGCTTTAAATCTTAGCGGTATCGCTGCACATGCAGTCGTTTACACTGCCGGACGTTTGGAACGATGATGATGCTATGTTTGACCTTATGCAACCAATCAGGCGGCCTAAAAACATTGACCCGGATGCATACAACCAAAAAATCTCGTTTTGGTCTTCGTTGCTTTCTGAATACTGCAGGACCCAACGAGTCCTTGTTGTGAGCATTCGTGCTTTGTCGTCTGTTTTCTCCCGGTATTTCGCCGAAGAACAGATTCATATGAGTCCTGCCTGTCTCAGTGAAGTTGTACGTGTTCTTCAGGAATCAGGCGTTATCAAGGCCTACACTGATTTCAGTGTTGTTTCTATACTTCGAAACGGTTTCCAATTCATCTTAGGATTGCCATTTTACCTATTCTCGAAGAAATACACCGAGTACACTGTTTTGATTAAACCTACATTGTAGAACTTTTGCGAATTACCAGGTTTCCCGTCGAGACTATGATTCACTTTTCATCATTCAAGAGTTCGTGGATATTTTCTTGGACGACTTCTTTACTCATTTCAATGTTACGAAAATGGAAAAAAGGATAACAGCAAGCCTCCCCGCCTATGAATTAAGCGAATTCGAGTCTTGCCTGACTGAATTTTTCCCCCACGAATTGACGCGAAGTTATATCAGGAAGCTTTGCGTGGAACACTATCGTTGCGTGGAGGTTGTTCAAGTTGACAATTTTGGATTACCGTGTGCTTATGATGTGAGTCCACGGATACTGACTTTGCTTTTTGCTCCATAGTTGCTGCCTCCTTGCTTATAGCAACGGCTTCTCGATTTTAACCTATACGCTCCTTTCCCACCTCACTTTTATTATTATTTTTAATACCCCAAAGAACTTCTCATTTGGCGCCAGTAGCTTCTATTAAGACCGCCCCGATATCTATGCGGAATTCATCCATACTTTCAGCCATTCTTTAGAATTCAGCTAGCTCATATTTTCGAATCCATGTTTTAGTCTTCGCTTAAAGCAGTGGGGAGCTGCAAGTCCTTCCACCTTTTTCAAATAAGCCGGAAAATTTTGTTAGCCCTCAATACTCAAGCCTTAAAGAGCAAAAATTGATGAAGCGCCGGATGTAGAGCAAAGCATACAGACTTTAGTTGCTCCAATCTCGATAGTGGCTCTGTAAGTGCTATTACGTTCAGTCATGTTGATCAGCAGCTTTCGTCACCGTGATTCCTTTACGGACACTCACCAATCCGCCGCTGCCTTAGATCACATTGGACGAACTCCACTATTTTGGGCATCATAATGGATAAACACAAGTCAGGCAGCACAAACACATGAGATCTCTGACGAGTAAAACGCGTGAGTCGAGAAGCCGAACTACTTCGTATATCACAAAGCGTATACTGAGCACTCCACCAAACTAGCTGCGAAGAGTGAATTCATCGTTCTTACACATCTTCCAAAGTCCCACACTCGCAGCTTGCTGGGAGTTATTGTTATCAGTCCGGGGCGACCGCCGCTTTGCTTACAGAAACAGCTAATTGTAACTCCGACCACACACTGTGATAGCGCCAAGCACAGCGATTGGCCACTGAGTGGTTGCCAATCGATCTACTATGGTTTCGTTTTTACAATGCTTACCACTTTACTTTTGCGATGGATGAAAATGCACGTAGTAGTAAAGTCAGCTCACAAATTCTGGTACTCTTATTTGAAATTATGAAGGGTTTTCTTGTTTCTGTTCGGTTGGGTTAGTCAGCTCTAATCTAGGGCGCGGACTATACAGATGTCCTGAAAGAAAACTCATTAGCAGCATGACGGCACACTATACTGACGCTTCGCTGTAACTCGAACACCACCAGTCGTACGGGAGTAAATTTTAGCGTGGGGCTATAATGACTACTAATAATAATCATGATAATTCGGTGGAAGTATGCAGCAATTAAGATCGTTACGCAGAATAGCCAAAAATCTACCATGGAATATTGGTATAATACCGATATAGTGCTACTGCTTTCCAAATTCCGAAAGATGGTCTGTGTAAATTACATAAGTTCAAAGTCAAATTTTACTCGCAGGGTATGTTACGCATCTATGGATTCGACTTAAAATTCTTTTAGCACACATGTACATCCGCATGGCTCGATCTCGTGATGGGTTGATGAGCACGGTTCGTTTGTTTCTATTTTGTCATCCGATGGACAGGAGTCTTGTAATGCGAATGGTGTAATGCATCTTCGAGTCACTCATTGAAAATTGGTAAGGTGGACGCAGAAATGATATAAGTCGGAAGAGCGTTTCACGGCTGGCAAATTCGGACCGAAGAAAAATTATGCCGATATTCTCACTGGATGTGTTGCGCGACCAGTTTCAGTTTGTAGCCCTTTGTTTGGTATTTTACTTGAGCTTTAGGTGGCTGCGCACGCGATCGTATTTTTCAACATCTCATAGATCAGGAGGAGGTCACCACGTAGATGGTGATACCTACTGTCCACTCCTAGGGATTTCAATCGCAATTGGTATGGCAGATGAATAAACCATTTGCGCTTTTAGTTGTTGCTCACTGTAGGACCTCCAGTACATTCAGATCCTGTTTTCGGTAGGGTTGTCAGGTCTGAAGTGTCCTCGCACACGCGTTACTCAATTGTGGGAAAGGACTAGGTTCGATTCACCCAAACACCCTCTGTAAAAGAGCGACGTGTTGGTTCCCGGTTTTTAACACTTCCACAACTCGCGTTGAACAGCTTAGTCATGTTGATTCACTACGCCAAGGTCGCGCTCCCCAGAGGCGATCTGCAAGACGTGATTCTCCAACCTGTATGTGCTATCTGACTGATGAAATAGATGAACAACTTTACGCTTATCCGCTCTAAATAAGGATAGATTCATCGTTGACCACTCAGGGGCACTACTCAGGTCTCGTTGCAACAGGTCGTCCGCCCGCCATATCTTGATTTCATAATGAGACAAGGAATTCGACTCGGTGACATGCGCTGGCTTATTAATGCAGACTAGGAATAATCGCTACGCAAGCGTTGTTGCTCGCTAACTACCGCATCCCACATCAAAAGTATCAGAAATTATACACTGAACCTGCACCTGTAGCCGCCAAATAAGATACAAGTTTCTGACCCATCCAAGAACAGGGACCTCAATTCCGTTGGTTTGCAACTTATGGCGAAGCGTGCGCTTATCTGAGCGGTCAATGATCTTGGAAAAGCCAAGATAGTGACATTGTCGGCCGTTTCGGTCCAACTATTTCACGCAGTCAGTAGACATGTGGTACGTGACCGGTGTTAACAGAAGGATTATATATATATATATATATATATATATATATATATATATATATATATATATATATATATATATATATATATATATATATCGCTCCGCTCCCAGGCCAGTTTGTTCAAGTTTATTGTGTCATATATCGATATTTGTTGTCATAAATTATATGATTCTCTATAACTTTTGATTCCGAATTATACAGTGATATATTTGAATCTTTTTCAGCAGTAATTTTCTCGTTTTTGTCTGCCTAGCTTCTCGTCGATCCTGGTGGTATCGTGCTCGTGTCCTTGTCAAATCCAGTTTATCTCGTTCTTTTCATTGTTACAGCAGTTTTCTCCTCTAGTTTGCGTAGTTCATTCTAGCTAGTCACTTGGCGTTTTACGGCATAACTACCTGTATTAATTAGTCGTAACTTCTGCACCTCCTCATAACACTGATTTTCTCATATCGATTGGTACCTATTTTTGAAATGGCGAAGCAGTCGCCTTGTGGTATTTGCTGCAAAGTCGTTGGACATCGAGCAAATGCGATTAAATGCAGTCTGCAGTGTAAAGCTTCATTTTTCGTGCGTTGGTCTGACTGTAGACCAATTTCGTGTAATTCAGGGCATTCAGAACGAATTTTTGAAGACAATTTGTAAACAGTGCCAGTCTAAACTTGTGCAGAATAGAACCGACAAGTCTAACAAGCAGATCAGTACAACGAAGTGCTCTAAAATGCCCAGCTCGACTTGTTCTACACCACAGTCAGGGAAGCAGCCAGCGCCTAGCACAACATCCCATCCCTACCGGAAGCAAGGTACTAACGTTCCGTCAGGCTCTCCCTCACGACCTACAGTGTGTTTTGTTGACAGTAAAGCTCCAATTTGCAATAAGCAAATTGAGGATAACGAATAGAAAGTGCAAACACCGAAGCAGCCAAGAGTAATGTCTAGCGACCTAAGGCGCCGTAGCCTCATGGTCTTTCACGCGCCTGAATCATGTGATTCCAATCTTCAGGTGCGCTATGAACATGACGTCGAGTTTTTGGAATCATTGATTGATAGACTACTCGATGTAAATGAGTACGGGCTCAAAGTGCAGCAGATCGCCTGTCTAGGAAATAGAATGGAGAGCAGAAGCCGATCTATGAGGTGACTTTTGTCCAAGAGGCAAGTCCCAAGTTACTCTTGTCCCGTCTTCACAAGCTGAAGGGTCTAAAGATCCACGTGCGCGCTGACTTAGACCCAGCAGACAGAGAGAAACTCAAGTCTGCGATGATTGAGCTAAAGCGACGCACGGAAGATGGAGAAACAAATCTCCGTATTGTAAATTTTCGGGTAGTTGTCCGGATTCCTCCACGAATCCGGATCAACAGGTTTCTAATGCTTCAGGCGCGTCCAGCGGTTCCTACCGCGGTCTGCGCGTAGCCTTTACTAACGTGTGTGGTCTGAGGAACAAGCGCGATGTGCTGTACGACTTTGTAAGTTCTCAGCGACCAGACCTTTTAGGCCTTGCTGAGACATGGTTAAACTCCGAGGTAACCGCCCAAGCAGTGGAAATCACCGGCTACTCATGCTTCCGCTGTGATAGACCATCAAATGATCGCGGTGGTGTTCTAGTTTACATAAAATCTTCCTTGTGTGGGAGACTAGTGAGCGCCTACCAAAGCGCCGATGGTCTACGTGAACAGTTATGGTGTTCGATTCACCTCAGACACTGCGAGTTGCTCGTGGACGTGGTATATCGCAGTCCCCTGAGCCGCTGTTTGGACTGGTTGCCGCATGTCCGCAACCACATGAGTTGTCAGGTGTTCCTACTCATGTGCGATTTCAAGTTACTCCGAATTCAATGGCCTGAGGCTGAACTTCTCCCCGACCACTGTGAAGTCGAGAGGAAGTTTACGGAGTTGATATTTGAACCCGGAGCCACACAGCACATCAACCAATCCACACGCATTACTGCGCGCGCGACTCCATTGTGCTTAGACCTGCTTTTGACTAGCTGTGAACAACATGTACAGGACATACAAGTCTTAGAGACTCTGGGAGCGAGTGACCACTGGATGATCATAGCCAGCCTGGAACTACCGCTGCCGTATTCTCCCCCACTGGAGCCAGCCTTCAACTATTGGAAGGCGGACTTTAATGGCCTCATTCGAGCAGCGAGCCAGATAGACTGGTCTTTACCACAGGATTCATCTATTGAAACCTGTTGGACTATCATTAAGGAGGGAGTGAAATCGTTGTGCGCCCGATTTGTACCCCTCAAATTTCGGAAAGTTGGACCAGTCAAACCACATTGGTTCGACAAAGAGTACAACAAACTGGTCAGACGACGACGCAGATTATGGAAAAAATTCGTGTTATCTGGCTCTGATGAGGACTACAAGGCGTACAAGGTACAGCGAAATCGCTGCAACAATGCGAAAGCAAGAAAACGCAGAAGCTTCGAAGAGCAGCTTGCAACTGCCTCAAAAACTGCTCCCAAGAGGATCTTCGCATACGTAAAGCGTCGCCTGAGGCTTGTAGCCAATGTCCCACTCTTAGAAGGCTCAGATGGATAGTCCCTAACAGCGAGTACAGATTGTGCGTCCGCATTGG